GCTTGAGCGATGGCGGCTGGGTCGGGAGCAGGCGTGGTTCTCCTTCCTGCGGTGGATCGGGGCCCAGCCTCCCTTCCCTATTTACAAATACTTTTATTTCCATTTTTTCCATTTTCTCATATTTTTTTTTCTTTTCCTTCATTACCTTTCCCCTACCCTTCCCACTTTCCCTACAGCTTTAGCCCTTTTCTTCCTATTTCACATTGTCAGTTGTATCATTAGGATCTTACATACAATTATAGTTTTTCACATAGAGAAACTATTCGGTATTTACACATGTGTGACTTATTTATTTCACTTAGGAATATATCCTCAATATGTATCCATTTTTCCTATGAATGAATCTAATTTCTCTTTTTTTTTTTTTTTTGGGGGGGGGTTTTTTGAGACAGGGTTTCACTATGTAGTTGAGACTGACCTGGAACTCACTGTGTAGCCCAGGCTGGTCTCAAACTCACAGCGATCCTCCTGCCTCAGCCTCCCAAATGCTGGGATTACAGGTATGCGCCACCACGCCCGGCTAATTTCTCATTCTTTATGGCAGAGTAGTACTCCATTTTTATAGAAAAACCACATCTTCTTTATCCAGTATCCAACTGATGGGCAAATGGGCTATTTCCAAGTTTTAGCTATTACACACTGTGCCACTACAAACACAGGTGTGCATATATCGCTGATCTGATTCTTTTAATTCTTTTGGAAAGATAGCCAGCAGAGGGATGGCTGGGTCAAATAGAGCCTCTAATCCCAGCTCTTTGTACCCTTTTATTTTATCAAATAGAACCTCTAATCCCAGCTCTTTGTACCCTATTGTTTTATTTTATTTTTTGTTTTGGTACTGGGGATTGAACTTGGGTCCTTCTGCTTTGGAGGTAGGCATCGGAACCACTGAGTTAAATCCCCAGCCCAGTACCCTTTTATTTTTGATGAGAGCAAGTTGAAACTGTCTAATGACATGGATTTGGAATTTTTGTTTTGTACTGGGATCGAACTCAGGTCCTTGCGCTTGTGAGGCAGGCAGTGGAACCACTGAGCCAAATCCCCAGCCCAAATTGGGATTCTTTTGTAGCTTTTAGTTGTAGACCTTTTCCTGATCCAGTGGATGATGAGGAGTTGTCTTGCGCCAGCCAAGGTACTATGTATTTGGAAGGATTGATAATTTGGTGGGAAAAATCACTTACTTGCTTTGGAGTTAAATATGAACTGAATCCCACATATTGAATTGCCACATATTAGATGGGTTACTCAAGCTCTCTAAGTCTAAATTTAGGGTAATAATAATAGTAATGCCTGAGTGCTTACTATACGCCAGGTCCTATAATAAATGCTTTTACACTTTGCACCTTATTTATTTCTCCCAGTAATCCTTATAGGTAGGTGGTATCTTCATTTTGTAGTTTAGGGAACAAAAGCTTAATGAATTAGTAACCAGGGTTATATCATTAAGTCTTTTGCCCAGTATTAGGGCCATAAAGAAGCAGAACCTAGACCTGAGCCTATGGTACCACAACCTCTGTTAAATACCAGTGTTCCTTACACGTAGAGGGTGCTCCTTCAAGTACTTTCCACCTTTAGTGAAAACTAAAAATTGTGTATCTCCACCCTACTATGTATCTAGTATCCATACAGAGGGGCTACCTTCCAGACTCCGTATCATCTATCTGTACTTGGTGGATATGTTTATATAACCATGTTAGTTTTTTTTGTTTTGCTTTTTTATAGGGAAACTGGGAGAAAACATGACCCTTAAACGAGCTGCATGGGTGAAGGTGCCGTCTGGATTCTACATTGGCTCTTATGTCCATGGAGCAGTTCACAGTCCTTCATTCGACAACCTGGAGCTGGGGAAGTATGGAGCCCTGGTCATCTGTGAGACATCTGAGCAGGAAAAAAGCCTTGAAGACGTTGGCCGCCACCTTGGGCAGCATGTGGTGGGCATGGCCCCTCTCTCCGTCGGCTCGCTGGATGATGAGCCTGGGGGAGAGGCAGAGACCAAGATGCTGTCCCAGCCGTACTTGCTGGATCCCTCCATCACACTGGGCCAGTATGTACAGCCCCAGGGCCTGTCTGTAGTAGACTTTGTGAGGTTTGAATGTGGAGAAAGTGAAGAGGCAGCAGGGGCTCAATAGATTCCAGAGACTTTTGGCCCAGGAAGAAATAATTATTTTTAGCTCTGGATGTCATTACGAGAAGTTATTTCCTAAGCCTTTTAGAACCCAGAATTGTTTTTTCATTTGAGTTTATGATGAAATTGTGTACTTCACAGGTAAAGTCATTAAATAAAATAATTATAAAATAGTGGAGTGTTTCCCCGTTTGTGTGGTACCAACATTCGCTTTTTTTTTTTTTTTTTTGGTACCAGGGGTTGAACTCAGGACCTTGTGCTTGCAAGGCAGGCAGTGGAGCCACTAAACTAAATCCCTGCCCACCCTTTTTTGAGACAAGGCTGTGCTGTGTCGTTCAGGCTGGCGCTGAACTCACTATGTAACCCAGGCTGGCCTCAAGTGCTTGCTATCCTCCTACCTCAGCCCCAGTGCTGGGATTACAGGCGTGTGCCACCATGCCTGGCTAACTTTAGCTTTTTTGTGCCTTTCTTGTGACAGCATTTTAGGAAGCAACAAATGTGTCTTACTGATAATGATTGACATTGTCTGGAGAACAGTCATCAATGGTATTGCTGTTTCCTTCAACATAGGTTTATTCTGGTGTCCCTGAAATCCCCACCTTATTCTATCTCACTTCTGTGACACAGAAGCCTGTTGTTCTGCTTTTGCTTTGTGACACTTTGGGCAATCTTCCAGTTACATCTGCCACGTAGGTTTCTTTGGAATTGTTGATTCAAACCAGAGTTATCTGGAAAATGTGGGTTCATCTGTTCATACCTATAGCATCCTTTAAAGCACTTTGCAGTGTTTTTCTTACCAGTTCTGGTTGTATCTACAGAAATTAGTAACACGTGGCTCTACTTCTCTTTTGGATGATAGGGTGTGGGTAGAGTGAGTACTGAGGTTTCCTGGACAGCTATAGGGCAGACTTTTGACATTCTTGTGCCAGAAATAGGAATTACAGTGATCCAGTTATCCAGAGAGCTCAATAGTGCCTGTTTTATTTCTTCAGTATTTTGCTCCCAATATAACATTACCACGCAAGCCCCAACTACTGAAAAGAACTTTGCTCCTACAAGTATCTTTATTTGAAAAGTTAAAAATGCTCTGGCACATAATATATCTGGGCATTGGATTCTGATGTTAGGGTATATGTGTATGCAAATAACTTCAGTGTTTTGTGGGTTAAGTAGGTTTTAGAAATATTGATCTTAAAATTTAAAGCAAATGTGTAGGTCCTGGCATAGCATTAAATATTTTAAGCTTAGTATTTTGGTTCTCTTTCTTTTGATTTCTCTAAATTGATGCAATTTTGTGCTTAGGCTTTAGCTAAAAGCCCACAAAAGCCAAAAAAAAAAGGGGGTGGGGTTAGTTGTAGGTATGTAACAACCAAGGAGTGCAAGAATAAAAAATGGAGAACATGCTGTGATTTTCAGACTCATATCTAGATAAATAGCTGAATGCCAGGTAGAAGTTAGTAAATTCTTTTCCAATATTGACACTTTCTGCTCTCTTGTGGTCTTGGCCTAGAAAAGCCCCTTTTCTTTCTTCAGTTGGAGCTGTTTCCAGCCAGGTAAAGCAGCAAATTTTCCTCTTGTGATGCCAAACAGAGACACAAAGTCACGTTCAGAAAGATGATTCTAAGAGGGAAAATAAAGTTTCTACTTAGAAGGGAGACATGGCATCTCTTTTTTTCTTTCCTTTTTTGAGACAGGGTCTCATTAGGTATTTGAGACTGACCTGGAACTCACTATGTAGCCCAGGCTGGTCTCGAATTTACAGTGATCCTCCTGCCTCCTGAGTGCACCACCACGCCTAGATCATGGCATCTCTTTTTTTTTTGTACCAGGGATTGAACTCGGGTCATTGCACTTGCAAGGCACTGAGCTAAATCCCCGGCTTCATGGCATCTCTTAATGCCAGCAGAAGTGGGTGAGTAGGGGCAAGAGGGAGGCCTAGGTAGCTCTGAAGGGGGAAGTAGAAAGAATTCTCAGGAAGACTAATAGACTTAAATTGTTCATGGCAGAAGTTTCTTCAGGTTGTAGAGTTCCCTTGTTCCCTGTGGAAGAGACTGGGCTCACTGTTCTCATAGTCCCAATTTCTTGCTAGAAAGATGGTAGAAAAGGATTTTACAGGGCTCGGATTTAGTTCAGTGGTGCTGCTGCCTGCCTGACAAACACAAGGTCCTGAGTTTGATCCCCAGTACCAAAAAAAAAAGTTATACATTATGGATTAATTAGATTTTGGCAGAACGAGGAACGAAAATGCTTTATGTCCTTAACTATTTTTATCCAGAACTGTAAAAAAATTCTTTTTTGGGGGGTTCTGGGGATTAAATCTAAGGCGTGGTACATGTTAACTAAGCATTTACTTTACCACTGAGCTACACCTCCAGGCCCCCAGAACTTTCCAAATAATGTTCAAGACGAGATGGACCCTAGAACATACATTCTGATATAATGATATCCTGATACAATGAATATTTTGTATCCAACTAAGGATTATATATGGCCTCTTTTTTTTTTTTTTTGGTACCGGGCATCAAACTCAGGTCCTTGTGCTTGCAAGGTAGGCGGCGGAACCACTGAGCTAAATACCCGGCCCCTATGGCCTCTATTTTCAAGAATGTTGTAGTCCAGATACTTAAGATTTGGTTACATAAGTCATTGTGAGAAATCCAGAGTCCTTTCCCAAATCACCTCTTTTAAGGAGAATTATCATTCATTCAAAAATAAATATGTTAATTCAACCAAACTTTTGGAGTGCCTACTATCTGCTAGGCACTGTGTGAGGTGCTGAAAATCTGAAAATATGAACAGGACAGACAAGTGCCTTTCTCCTAAGGATATTACTAGAAAGTGAGATAATGTGTTTAAAGGGACTGGAACAAGCTTAAACACTGTATAGTACCTCATTTGAGTAACGCAAAATACAAAGAAAAATAAAGGATGGGTAGCAGAAATAAGGGACTGGATCTCTTGCCAATGGGAAGGGGTCCAGGAGATGGAGGGAAAGGGGGAGGGTAAAAAAGAAGAGTTAGATATGCCATGTACGGGAACCTAATAACCACCATGAATGTAAACATACGTCATAAACACAAGCTGAGAACAATAACAAAAATGAAAATGGGCAAAGGGGATTTAGAGATGGAGGGACAAAGGGGAAGAGGATTAAAAAAGAAAAAACAAGCTGTGCTACGTACATGTTCCTACCCCCTAAGATGAATATAAACTAAATGTACTGCGAACATATAGTAATAAAAGAAAGGGACTGGAGGGAGTGAAGGAAAGCCTCTCTGGGGAGGAGATGGAGCTGAGACCTAGATAGTGAAGAGGAGCTGGCTGCCACATGGGGAGAACAATGTTGCTCAGGCAGGAGCACTGGCAGGGAAGTGTAAAGGCGTTTCCAAGGAACAGAAGCACAGCCATTGGCTTCAGGGTAATAAGCGAGGACAGTGGTATAAGAGATGAAACCCGAGGGAGGGCCAGCGGCCAGGGTGCAGGCTTTCAAATTTTTTTGTAAGTGCATTGGGAAGCCATCCAGGTATTTTAAACAATGACATCTTTACAGGATTTCTTTGGTCTTGGGGGTGGGGGGTAGTACTGGGGATTAAACCTATGGTCTTGACACTGAGATAAATCTCTAGCTCTTTTTTTTTATTGTGAGGCAGTGTCTTACTAAAGTTGTTAAATTACCCAGACTGGGTTCTAGCTTGTGTTCCTCCTGCCTCAGTTTCTAGAGTGCTGGATGATAGGTGTCTGCTACCATGCATTATTCATAACTGTGTTTATGTAGGGTGGAAACCGGCTGGATCTTGGTAGTCTGTGACGGCTGGAGAGACTAGCGGTAGAGGGATGGAGAGGAGTAGACAGACTCCCAAATGGACTGGATGGATTTGTGTGGGAGGTAAGAAAAGAATCAAGAAGGCCTTATTTTGGGGGTTGAGCTACAGGGTAGCTGCTCAGATTTCCCTTGAGTGAGTGCCTGTGATAGGCTGGAACTGCTCTAGGCCATTTACTAGGACAAGTGCTTTGCTGATGGGGTGGGGTTGGTTCTACTTACTCCCAACAGTTCCTTCATCCACTCACCTCCTTTTTGGCAGGATTCACATCCTCAGGCAGCCCCTGAGTCTGACTTTTTAACAGAACTTCTATAGGGTAATATTTTGGCTCACTGTCGTTAGAATTCAGGGAAAAGGTGGCATTCTTCATGTCCTAAGTAAGAGAAAAAACTGTTTAGTGTCTCATGCAATCAGTTTCACATATGTATAACTTTCAACATTTTGGCTTATGCCACTTTACCCTTGGTAATGGTCACTCAGAAGGGTGGGCCCCAAAGCGGCTGTATGTCAAGATCATTTGTGATAATATTCAGGTTTTGGGGTCTTTCTTGGGGAAGCTGATTCAGTGAGTCTGGGATGAATCTTGATAGCTGGCTTGGCTTATATTCTGCACATAAGTCTAATGACGATAATGATTACTCGGTGCTGGTGCTCTACCACTGAGCTATATACTCTTACGCTAAATCGCTTTTCAATATTTGATCACATACCTCCTTGTGGCATTTTTTTAAAGCCCTACGTGTCCAATCTTTAAGTGTCTTCAGAGTGAAGCCATACTTAAATACAATTTAAAGACATGACATCACCAGTAACTTTGGAGTCTGACTTTGCAGATCACCAAGGACAACACTGCCAGAGGGTGCAACACTTGGTGCTACTACACTAGTCCTGACCTTAAAGTGGTGCTATGCTTCTGGTGAGAGGGGCCACTTCTTATAGCTGTTCAGGCAGGGGCAAATGGCCTAAGTTTGCGCGGACTTCACTATCAGAAAATGATACAAATATCATTTGGGTCAGAACTTACTTCTGAAAATTACTTCCAATAACTTTAATCTGTTGAATGGGAGATAGAGTTGAATAATAAAATTAATTTTTATTTTTGTTTTAGAAAGTGTATTCTAAATTTTGGAAGGCAGTAAAATAAGGAACTTGGCTCGGAGACCTGCTTTTCTACTCATTTAAAAAAAAAATGTTGGGGCTGGGTGCTGACTGTAATCTCAACACTTGACACACTGAGGTGGGAACATTGTGAATTCAAGACCAGCCTGGACTACATAAGGAGAACCCATCTCAAAAACAAAACACAGAAGGGATAGTTCAGTGGTAAAGCCCTTGTGTGGCATGCACCAAGTCCTGGGTTCAATCCCCAGCACGGTGAAGAACAAACAACTTTATAGAAAAATAGACAATTATAATAATACTAAGAAGGTCTTGGTAGGCTTTTGCCCATGCGGTATCTGTAGCATTTGCTGTTTCTCTTTGGCTCTGAGGCTTCTCCAAGAGCAAAGCCCACTCACAGCAGTGATTTGAAGGATAGCAGTAGCATCTCCCAGCTCTTCCTTTAACTGTTCGTATGATTTTCCTGCCTGAGAAGAGAGAAAATACAAGATGGTAGGCAAGGGCCAACTTAAGCCTGGTCTGTATTAAAAAACAAAACAAAACAAAAAACCCAAACCAAAAAAACAAAGTAGAATCAGAATGCATTTCAAAGATAAGTAAAAAATGAAAATTCCTCCATCTATATCCATATAGGGTAGAAAGACTCTTAAACATGGTCTACACTTATTTTTTTATGGCACCCCATGAATCTTCCCTATAAGACCTAAGAAAGAGCAGCTGACTAGGAGTCAGGAAACCTGGCTTCTTTCTATTGGATTATATGACTTTGGGCAAAAAACTTGTCCTATCTTCCTCATCTATAAAGTACCTGCTTTGGCTGTGAGTGTAGTTACAGAAATCAGAAAGCTTATGATGTGCATGGATACGTGTTACAAATCAGTGATGGGGAACCTATTAGAGACCAAGTGCCCAAACTGCAACCCCAAACACATTTATTGCAAAGTGCCAATGCTGCAATTAAACCTGAATACTGAGGTTTTAATTCAGAAAAAAAAAAAAACAAAACAACTTCATATTAACATCTTTTGTCTTAAAAGAAAAACAACATGGCTGGGGTTTTAGCTCAGTGGTGCCGCCTCCTGCCTCACAAGAGCAAGGTCCTGAGTTCAATCTCTGGTACCAAAAAAAAAAAAAAGAAAACACATACGCCATAGGTTCACCACCACTGTTATAAACTATTATTTCATACTGCCCACTACTTAGACAAATGTAAATGCTCTAATTGGACTTCTTGCTATGGGGATAAGAGAGAAGAGAAGAAAAATAAAAAGCAGGAAGTAGAGTGGGGATGGGAAAAAGGTTTTTTACTTGGCCCTTGAATCAGTACCTCGCCTGCCCCCACCCTCTATTCTGTGCTCCCTGGCAGAAACCTCTTCCCCAGTCTGTCTGTTCTTACACTCCAAATGTGAGGGTCCCAGGCCAGGAACCAGCCTGTGAAGTTGGGAGGCTCAAACCCCTGTTTGATGATCAGGATGGGTGTGTCAAGGTCTCGGCCACTGGGGTGAGTCTGCAGGTATTGCTGGGCAGTAGCAAGTGCCCTCTCCTTCTCTGTGGCATTGGCCTCAGCTCCAATCCACAAAAACACCTGGTGTACAGATTTAATATTTGTTAATGCGCTTGTACCGAGGGCCAAGTACTAGATTGGTAACACTGCTCATCTGTCCCCGCTGGCAATCCACAGCCCCAGAAAATGTTCTCAACCTAATTTGTTCAGCAGAAAGATTTTCCCAGAAGCAGCTTGATATTTGCGATTTTAATTGCCATATGCATCTCCTAAATCTACATCTCTTTACTAGAGTGTTCTCTCAACTTTAGTTCCTGAACCTAACTTCTTGTAGGACACACCTTCTCGGGGGCCAGAACTGCTCTTCCGTGACTCCCATCCTTCTGTACTCACAGGAGAAACCTATGTAAAGCACCATCTGACGAATCACTTACCATAAACTACCTGCCATGGTAGGTCAAGCCTACATGTACTTCAGCTTCATGGCTTGCGTGCTTCTTAACTCTACCCTATGTCCTGGTAATACATCCTGTCTTGATCTTATGTGTGCATTTCCCCTGCCCATCTTTCTTTGCTAATTAAAGCCCACACATCCTTTGAGATTGAGCCTGGAAGACTTAGAGCCCCTAAACCGTGTTGAATGCCCTTCATCTGTGCTCCTCTGACCCCTGTATGTACCTTCATAGTGCAGTGACATTTCTCTGGTCCCTCCTAGCAGTCTGTAAATTCTGAGAGCAGGGTGACACCCACCTGACATGGTGTCTGGCAGGAAGGAGGTGCTTATCGTGTTTGCCGAGCTGAAGAAAATAGCATGTAAAAAGGGGTTGCCTCGAAGGCATCTCTCACACTCCTTGGTCCCCTAAAAGATTCATATTCTCTAGATTTGGTACCTGTTGCTCCTGCTTCTAAGATCAAGAAGGGCAGGATGATAGGGTGGGCTAATTTTCCCAGAGCAAGGTGGGAATGCTCCCTCCCAAGGTGGTGAATTTTAAACATCATTCTTTTCTCTGACTTGGTAAAAAGCAGACTGTTTCTTTGTTCTCCACTGACCACTGTTTTCCTTGGGGATTGTCCAGGGCATCTCTGGGTTTCTTCTGGATGGGGATATTACACAAAGCAGCCTAAACTATGGGGATCTTTGCCATTCGTTCTGAGTTCTGTTACTGAGGTCTTACCTGGTCCCAGGTATCCAGGAGCATCACATCGCCTGGGTTCAGGTCATCCTGGGTGAAGTCTGTGATCTCGGTGACAACGAACTGGCCGGTCTTATTGGAACATTCAAAGAGACGGGACTGGACATCTAGGATTTCCTGCTGTAGCCTGTAAGACAATCCTTTTAGAGACACGGAGCCACATGGAAATCACATTTTTAGAACTGGGAAAGACCTTAAGTTTCGTGCAGCCTAGAGGCCGGGGAACAAAGGAGAGGAAGGCTATGTCCTGTACCTTTTGTCACTGGCATAGGGAGTTTTTCCTCCCAGCAGGTCCCAGAACTCAGCTGACTCCTGGCCTTCAGCCACCGTTTCCTCAGTGCCATCACAGAGCACTGTGGCCAGCTGCTTCGCCATGGCCCGCTCATCCCCACTGGAGCCCTGAAATCAGGGCAAGGAGAGCAGACTTGAGTGCCGAGGGCGCCCTCAAGTGGGAAGAGATGCTCCCGAGACCATGATGCAATGGGATCAGGGTCAGCTAAGGAGCTCAGTGCCTCAGGACTGGGAGACCGGTTTTTTTCTAGGGCTAGGAAAAGGAAAGGAAGACAGACTGTGTTGGCAAAGAACAGAACAGACTCCGAAATGCACAGCGAATGTTGAGTCACCTTTGATTCCTTCAGTTTCAGCTGGAAGTCTAGTCCCTATTTTTCTTTTCTTTTTAGAGAAAAAAATTAAAATTATGTACAGTACAAATGACTCTGTCAAAGTTCCACGAGCCTTGACAAACATGTAGAATCATGTTCCCACAGTGACAATACAAAACGGTTTCCTCAGTTCTTGCCAGAAGTTCCCTTGGAGTCAAACCCTGCTCGAATCCTTAGTAGTTGGTAACCACTCATCTGTTCTCCATCATTGTAGTTTCGCCTTTTCCAGAATGTCACAATATTTAGCTTTTGAATCTTGCTTCTTTCACTTAGCATGAACTGGAGACTCATCCACATTGTTGTGTTTATCAGTGGTTAAGTCTTTTTCTTTGCTGAGTAGTATTTCATTGTTTGATGTACCACTGTTTATCTGTTTTCCAATTGATTGTTTCTAGGTGATTATCAGTAAAGGTGCTATAAACATTTATGTATAGCTTTCTGTTTGAAGGTATTTTTAAAAAATTTTTTCAGATGGGTAAATACTCAGGAGTAGGATGGCTAGATAATATTATAAATATGTGCTTAACTTTATAAAAAACTGTCAAATTGCTCTCTAAAATCTGTAACATTTTCAGTCCTACCATCAAAACATGGGAGTTCTTATTGCTTTGTATCCTTGCTCTTACATTGTTAACATTTTGCATCCTAATAGATGTGTAGTAGTATCTTATTGTGGTTTCAATTTTTATTTCCCTAATGATCAATGATGTCAGGCATCTTTTCCTAGTCAGTTTCCCCCATACAGACACTGACACATACACCCTGAGTTGGAGACTCAAGCTATGTTGCCCAGGATGGCAACTAGTAATCCACATTCCTCAGCCTCCCAAGAACAGCTCCTGGGATTATAGACACATGCCATCATAGCTGGGTTCAATTTTCTTTGGTAAAGCAATTTTAGTGCTTTTAAAGGGACTAATGAATCGACAGCGTCACATTTTTTGTGTTTTTGTCCTGTGTTAGCCACCTGTCCTATTACAAACCTCCAAACTCGTGTGGGAGGACAGACTTCTCTAGCCCTCACGAGTGTAGAAATTTATGGGATGTAACAGGGATGTCAGTGGGATTCTAGTGGAGGTCAGATTGTGGAGAATGTTGGCACTTCCTTGGAAAGCTCCTTAGGAAAAAGGCTCTTCTCTTTGAGAACAGCACCAGACTGTTGTGTATTCTTCAGTTCCTTTGACCCTGCTTACTAGGAACAAAGGTTGGGGATGAGAGGGAAGGGGCTGGGCTGACAAAAGGGCCCAGCCCTCCTACCTTGCCATACCACAGGTAGTGCTCTGCCTGGGTTCGAAGCAAGAAGACATCATTGGAATTTAAGGAGGAGGCAAAGGCTGAAACTTCCACTGCTTTGGTGTTAAATTTGTCATTTCCTTGAATCTGGAAGAGTCTTACTGGAGGGTCAGGCTCAGCATTTCCCTTCCTAGAAGTCCCCCCCTAGAGAGATGAAAAGCAGAGTCCAGATCTATAGAACATCATGCGAGCACTAGGCTGACTCTGGTGGGAAATGATGCATGAATCTGACACCATCTTTGCCCTCCAGGAGCTTCTACACCACCTGGAAAGGGGCAAGGTGAGCTGGGCTTTGGGAACCAACAGCATTTCCCATTCTCTCTCCTTCCTTCTGGACCACACTATATATGCCAGTAGTCCAGGTTGGTGATCCTTCTGCCCCAGCCTCCCAAGCGCTGGGGTTACAGATGTGCTACTTCCCCCTGCACTATTAGCTTTCGTTCTGAGAGCGTTGTCCTATGCAGGCTCTGTGACTAGTGCCTTCCCTTCGCTGACTGTCGTGATAGTCCATGGAGTAGGTATTATCCAACAGTTCAAATGAGGAAACAGATTCAGAAGTCTGGCTAATAAATGACAAGACTAGGACTTGGCTCCAGACTTGCGTGATTCTCTGGCATGTGACATTATGCATTTTCTGCTAGTGCTTCAGCCAGGCTTCATGGATGAAGTAGGATGTTATGGTTTATATCTTGATGTGCCCCCAAAGCCTTATACACTCCCAGGTGGGGCTTTGGGGAGGTGACTGGGTCATGGGGACATGATACTCATCAGTGCATTAGTCCCGATGAGCTTATAGCTAAGTGTGATATTGGGAGGTGGTTCACTTGGGGCATGGCCTGGAATGGTCTATCTCCTGCTGTCCTTCTTATTCTTTTTCTGCTTCCTGTTGCTGGGCCATGGACTATTCTCTGCTGTGCCCCTCTGTCATGCTGCCATGCCTTGAAGCCAGCAGACTATGGACTGAAACCTCTACAAATCATGAACCAAAATAAACCTTTCCTCCTGAAGAGTTGTGGGTGTCCGATATTGTGTCTCAGTGATGGGAAAGTAACTAAGACACGGGGCTCGAATTCAAGGGACACATCTGAGGGGTGGGTGAGGCACGGCACATGCAAGGTCTAGAGAGGAGACCCACCTGACTGGAGAGGAGGGTGCAGGTCAAGAGTGGAGGGTGATGCTCTGCACAGTTAATAGTAGTGGTCAACTTATGAAAGCCCTTGAATGTGAATTAGACAATACTTTGGACTCGAAACTCCAGGCATTTGGGATTTCCTTGAATGTTCTTAGACTCACCCCTACTTTGTGTCTAACTCAAACCTGGCTTCCCACCCTACCCACTCCAGGCCTCCTCGTCCCTTGGGTAGCTTCCTACTGGTTCATTAATTCTGAGCTTCCTGCTCATGGTGCAGATTTATCAAAGGGTCATTACCTCATAGACCACAAGCTTTCCTTGGAAGATGGCCATGAAGTGGCGCGGCTCCTTCCCCATGCTGACTCGAACCTGCACAGGGGATCCATCAAACTGCCGATCCAGCTGTACTGCCTGGTATGCCGAGGCTGCTAGCTCATCCTGCGAGGCATGGCGGCCCTACGGCAGTGAGAGGGGTGTGGATGGGCCCTTTCTCTGTGCACCAGTGGGGGAGCCCAGGGAGTACTCGATGCAAAGCTGAGAGCCTGCTCCAGGCCTACCTGCCAGATGTACAAGATGTAATGTGGCCTCCCATTCACCTCATACGTATAGAGAACCAAATAGCAGTCTCCCCCATAGAAGAAGCCATACCACTGACGCTCCACGGGTACCAGCTCCAGGTTCTCAATTCGCCAGACCTGGGCACGAGAGACACAGTTGCGAGAGTGCTGCCAATAGGAACAGGTGGGCGAGGTGCTAACGTTCGCTCCAAGGACCCCTCCACATTCTTCTCTTGTCTGCCAGTGCTCAGGGCTCATCACATTTGCATGACTTGAATCCTGAGCCTGGGTTGTCTAGGTCAGGTGCACCCTGCTGTACCGCCTAATTCTTTGTAGGCTGAGCGATGATTTGAATATATCTGTCAGGGGAGTTATTGATAGCATGTGTGGGGAGGTTCTTTTCACTTCCCTGAAGCATTTCGGGGAAACTCTATCAACTCTCAAGCCTCTTTAAGAATACTGAGGTGTCAGAGGGGGAAAAGAAGCAAAGCAGACAGAATTACCTGCCCTCTGGTACATCAGGAACAGCTGAGAGGGCCAGTGCTGCTCTCACCAAGCTCACCTCAACTTTCCCATTGCCACCATCCACCATCCTTTCCTGGGCAGCTACCTCCGGCTGGGTGTGGAGCACAGTCACATCAAACTTGTCCTGGAAAACTTTGGCTGTAGAAAAGGGGTTGGGAAAATCCAAGTAAGCAAGAAACACCCATGCCTGTCTCCTTAGAGCTGGTAGTAAGAGGACACTCAGGGGAGAATCTCACCAATTTTACCAATGCTGAATATTTTTCCCAGGCCCGTGGTCTGGTCCTTCACCGACCACTTCTGGAACAGCTGCTTGAACATGGCTGACTCAGCACCATCACTGACAGTCTCCACGTTGGTGCTGCTGCGGTAGCCCTTCATTTTGATGAAGCCCTGCACCCCGACCCACACAAAGGTAGGTCAGCCAGGGAATATACTGAGCTCTTTGCTTGTCTGGTAATTCACCCCTTGGGATCAGTTGGTAAGATCCCTCCCGTCTGGGAGTCAAATTCTAATTCACTTTCATCTGACCACCAAGTCACCTGCCTCAAAAAATAACTGAGTGAGGGCTGGGGATTTAGCTCAGTGGTTCCAGTGCCTTCCTGGAAAATGCAAGGACCTGAGTGCAATCTCCAGTACCAAAAAAACAAACAAACAAAAAAAACTGAGTGGGACATTTTAACTTCTCTTCATCGGCCTGTTGTGATTAGGTTATTGTTGTTTTTGCAAGACCTCCTAAGCTGTGTTCTTTCAGCACTGGGTATAACTCCACTGACTTTCCGTCACAATCACTTGTTCATTTATTGCTTTGGAAGTGGATCTTGCTGGGTCATGTGCTGTGTCTGAACACGTATCATAAGCCCCTTGAAGACAGGACCATTAACCGTGTTGTGACATTCCCTTCAGTAGTAATAGTCACCTCTTATGGTGCTGTGTGCCAAGACCTATTCTGAGTGCTTTACAAGTGGTACTTAATCCTCACAACCACCCCAGGAGATGGGTATTAACCTTTTGTTGGTATAAAGAAACTGAGGCTCAGTGGTGTTCAGTAGTCTTCCCCAGAACACTCAGCTGAAAAAGATATAACTGAATTTGAAGCCCCATTTGCATTTGTCTGACTTTGAAGTCCATGCACACAATCACACCGTTCTGTTCTCAAGTGCTAAGACTGGCTCCCTGCACATGTCTGAATGATATTGGTGGAATTACTGCACATCTGTAGCTCCTACCAGGGCTTTAGACATGGCTGCCTGTTTCTCAACCTTGGTGGCTCCTTTTCCTTTCCACACATATATCTTGGCTCCACCTTGGTCCAGGATGTAGCAGTCCTGAAGCAGTCAGAGATAAATATGTTATGGTTGCTCAAGAACAGAAGGAAGGATTTACCCCAGGTCTGCTTCTGATACCAGGTCTGGCTACCCTAGGAGTGGTCCCCACAAGCGCTACTTACGTCATGGTTCAGTAAGTCCTGGACCAGAGGCCTCGTGGATACCTCTGTGACTGCCAGATGCCCTGCTGAGTCTGAGACCCTGAAGAAAGGGAGAAGTTAGCTTATACCTTCTCTGCTCCTGCAGTCACCTTGATGTTTTAGCGTGGAGTTTCTGGGTAGCATTTGACTTCTTAAGACATGCATGGCTTATATGCAGACAGGAATGTATAGACTTTGTTTTCTGGAGGAGACTTCTGTGCCTTTCTATCCCAAATGGAATCCCCTCCACCTCCCTGGGGGTGTGTATAGATTACAGTACAGGAAAGGTCTCCCAAGGAGGTCAGGAGTTGCTATAAGAACAGAAGATAGCTTCTTCCTGAGGTGAGGGAGGTCTCTGAGCTCATTCTAGGAGCTGAATTGGAAAAAGACCAAGGAGCCAGGCACAGTAGCAGATGCCTGAAATCCCAGCACTCTGGGAGGCTGAGGCAGGAGGATCACAATTTCAAGCCCAGCCCAGGCAACTAAGTGACTTAGTGAGAACATGTCTCAAAATAAATTATAAAAAATTGGAATTGTAGCTCAGTGTGAATGCTGTGGGAACACACACGTGTGCGTGCACACACACACACACACACACACACACACACACACACACACCGAACAAAAAAGACACACAGCCGCCCACAAAACTACACAGCTAAGAAGAATGCCAGGCTGCTGCACCCAAAAGGAGGAGCCAAATTGAATGCCTGGTTTTCCATGGGATGCTTCCCCTCCACCAGCTTCTTCTGATCAGTAGCTAAATTTTGCTACTCACTGATACAATGTGATATTTGACTTTTGCTGCTGATCTATGATTTCATCAGGGACTGCAGGCTTGATGATAGAGCGTCGGCCAAGGGTGTCCTGAAGGACCGTCATCAGCTCCGGGCTGGCTGCCTCCTCGTCCCCCTCAATCACTCCTATTTCAGCACGGCCCCCTCGCTCTCTGTCTCGAATATCCTTTGCCAGAAGCATCGCCTATCAAAGAAGCCCAAGGAAACACTCAGCTCATCTGGGCCCCTTTCTGCTTGACTGCTTTGGTGGGGAGCATCGTGGAGCCCAGGTACAGAGTTATTCTGATGCTGAGGAACCCTGGGGTGAGTCATTCACTCGACCTGTTGGCAAGACAATCTGTTCATTGGACATAGTGGTGCACACCTGTAATTCCAGCACTTGGAAGGCTGAGGCAGGAGGATTGCTGAATGTTTGAGGCCAGCCTGGGATACATAGTGAGTTCAAGGCCAGCCTGAATCACATAGCTAGACCTTGTCTCAAAACAAAGAAAGCAAAACCAACCTACCAAACAAAAAAGACAGCCTGCTCAAAAGCAGGGGTTCACCTTGAATTTTGGGGATCATCATGGAAAGAAAGGGGAAAAGGCCCCAGAGAGAGTCCAGCCCCAGGAGCAGACCTAAGGCAGAGGAGACAGCCCTGGGAAAAAAAGAGTCATACCTTCAGGCGCTCCCCACTGTTGCTCTCTGGGCCATTCCACTGGATGATGAACTTCCCGAGGTCCAGCAAAAAGACATCTCCTCGGTTAAAACTGTCCCAGCTCATTTCCACCTGCAATTGAGAAGTAAACAGAGCTCAGAAAAATTCATAAGTACCAGGTGTAGAAGCCCTGGGCCCAGGGCAGTCAATGGGCAGGACTCACCTCAGTGGCCCTGATGTTTCTCTTGCCCTTTACGTGTAGCAGCCGCTTCATGCTGTAGGTGTTGGTCTCCACATGCTTCATCCCAGAGGCCACACCCCCCTTTTTATAGCTGAGGAAACATCCATTATTTATGGAGCACCTGCTGCGCACTAGGTTCAGGTAGACTGTTGTGCACTACACAGATGTCACCTCCACCCATGTGGACGACAACAAACCCTCAAGGTAGCTGCTGCTCTAAGAGCGACTAATATACACTGCAGCACAGAAGGGCCTGTTTTATTCCAGGAACTGTCTAAATGTCAGTGTGCAATGGAGGGACGGCTATAAGTCAGGCAGAAGCAGAAACATCAATGATACCTTGGCCTTGGGACCACCCACCCCAGGAATCAGCTTTCCTGCCTCTGCACTCACACTAACCAGGCTCCGAACCAGGTATCCCACACTGCAGGGGATGCAGCAGGTAACCCTGGAACAGAGGGGTTTGTCTTATCTTTTTTTTTGGTACCAGGGATCGAACTCGGGTCCTTGTGCTTGCAAGGCAGGTGGTGGAACCGCTGAGCTAAATCCCCAGCTAGAGGGGCTTATCTTCAGGCTTCCTGCAGGCAGTGACCTGTGCCCAGCAGGTCCTCAGCAAAGACTGCCAACCTGCTAGGAACAGGCCTTGACCCAGCCTCGATGTTGCTAAGCTCATTGGAATCCTCTTTTCTATTTTAATCTCAAGTGCAAAGTTTTGAGTTAATTAAACTCCTCAGTTCATGGAGCATTATTACCGCTGGCTTTGTGAGCCCCTCCCTCGTGTTCAGTGTCCATACATTCCCTTTAATCTGCGTGCCCTCTTCCCACTCCTCCCCCATCTCAGGCTTCCGTTCTGCCACTTTAACAGTTCCCTTTATCTTTTTTCTAATAAAATATGTCCTGCTCCTTATATGCATTGTATTTGTAAAAAGAATTTATTTAGTACTTCCTGCTTTGCTCATTAGGGACCATGTATGTGAGATGTGTCCCAGTGCCAGGTGTGTGTCTAGTCTGGTGCTTCTGCTATGAAAGCCCAGCCTCCTGGTGATGACATCAATATTGCTCATAGCTTTCTACCACCATTAATCATTCTATTATGAATATTCTGGTTTGCAAGCTGTTATGGACCTGAGTATGTGAGGACTTCTTTGAGTTACACACTTCCAAGTGGGATTTGCTTAAGTGGCCCTGATACTTTCCAGAATGGAGTGCTGGGCAACACTCCCACGAGCCATGCACCAGGCTCCCATTTCTCCATAGCCCAGCTAGCACTTGGCACCACCCAGCTCTCTCATTTGTGCTACTCGGATAGACGCAAGTGAGAGCTTTGTTTTGCTTTTTGTTTCTTGGGTTACTTTCTTTATATGTGTGCTAGCCTTTTGGGGTTCCTCTTCTGCGGGCTGCTGTTTCTGTCCTTGTTCTGTGTGTCAGTACTACTCACATGATGCCCTGCTTGAAGTAGCCACGGAAGGTGTCAGACTCGTGGTACTGGACCTCTCGGTGCTGCACAGGGCTGCCTCCCAGGTAGTCATCTAGCTGTGTGGTATAGATGGCTGCACAGCTCTGCTCATCCTGGGAGGAGTCTTTCCCGATCCAGAAGTGGATGTTCTGGGAGAGGAGACTCCCCACCTGCCGTGTCTGAGGTACAGCCAGAGAGATTGGGTCAGGGTCTGGCTCACCTCCCCTTTGCTGCTGGGCCCCCTGGCATGGCAGAATGCTGCACATATTGGCTTGTGTCCTGCCTTGGCAGCTCGGGCCCTTCTATGTCTCTGGACTGGGTACTGGAGCTGCCCTGTCCCCTGTGCTGACCTGCTATTGTGGCTCAAGTTTTGGTAGCCCGAATTCCTCCCCACACTTGGAAAAGTTGACAGCCAATTATTCGTAAAATAAGTGGAGACCACAGGAGACCTTTTCCCGAGTGGACTGAAGACTCACCTCCAGGTCTCGGCTGTACATCTGGTCATGCACAGCTGGTCTGTACATCTGAGTGGCCCTGCAGTGCTGTTCATGGGAGGCATTGTTTCTTCCACTAGAAAGAGCACTTCAAGGCCACAGGCAGACTTTATGTTTGGCCTTTCCCATACCCATTTAGTGTGGTGATTGGGGCCTGGGAGGAAGAAGTGTTACTCATGGGCAACTTGCGGAGGGTCAGGCTGAGGGTCCCATGCCTGCCCTCTGACTCAAAATGAAAAGCTCAGGACTAACAGTGGCCTTTCACTGTCAGACTGGAGGCGTGATCCACACAGCACTGGGCAAGAACTGAGACGGCTACCAGGAACCCACATTTTTCCCTTACCAGCAGATCACTCAACAGAGCTCAGGAACTGCCTCTCAGGGGAGAAGCCACGGGAAAGAGGAGGGTGGTGCTCACCGAGAGGACGATGTAGCAGTCACCCTCATAGAAGTTGCCGTGGGCACTCAGGGGCACCAATGCCAGCTCCATTTTCTGGAAGGACAAGGGATATACAGAAGCAGCGTCCCCTCTCTCCTCCCTTCTGCACAAACCTCCCTCCACACTGTGGTTGGCACAGGTGGAAGGAGAGAAGGGAGACGTCTCTAGCACAGGGGTCAGGTGGCTGTTGCTCTGGCCTCTGTGAGCTCTGCCTGCAAAACCCTGGATCCAAATCTGAGTGCTGTCTGGTTTTCCTTTTGCTGTCCTCTTCCCCTGCCCTACTCAGTCTCATCTCACCATACTGTGGGGAGCCTTGAGTCCCCCTGCAGCCCTTTGCAAGGGAAAGAGGAGGGTGTAGACCATCAAGTACCCCACCCCTAACCCCAATAGCCATGTTGCCAATGCTCTGTCCCCGATTTGAGCACCTACAGCTGGGCAGTCCTGCTCTCCTGGGAGTACAGAAGTGGGGAGGCTACCGGCTTCCAGAGTGCCTGCAGGTGCCACACTCCACGCCATGTGTCCCCCTTTTGGAGTCTAGGCTGGGTCCCTGATTTGTTGCTGTGTGTACTGCTTGTCCTGGGAAGGTCATTCACAAAGCCTCAGATATAAATTTTTATCCCTCTCCAAGTAAGGTCAATCTGCAGTGATACTGTGTTTGTTCTATGTACAGTATGTGTGTTAAATGTAAGAAAATTAGATACGCTACAGTTTCTGTAACTCTGCCTTAGTATCTATTCATTTTTAAGTAAACTGGGAGACTTAAAACAATGGATGTGACCTGGGACTCTTCCAAGCTCTGAGAGCCTGGCTGAAGGCTGTGACTCACCCTGCTTAATCGAGGAGAGTGAAGGGAGGCTTCGCTGCTGGTTTTATCCAGCAGCAAATGACTGGGTGAAGTGCCCTCACACCTGACAGGCGGAACTACCCAGCCCAGAGTCGGGGCTCAGAATCACTCTGAGGGACATAAGCTGGGGTGGGGAGAGGGGAGGGATTAGCAATGGCCCATCTGTGCCGCATCCCTTCTGTGCTTTGTAGGAGCCAGAGTCTAGTAGATGTGTTCCAGGTCCCATTTCTCTTATGGGAGTGCCATGAGCCTCCTGGGAGAGTCCTACCCATCTTTCCAGGACAGGAACTGATAGTGCAGACTCCCTGAGCAGATGGCTGGATAAAGGACAAGCTAAATTCTGTTCAGAGCCCGGCTTTCCAGGACTGAGAGCATTTCTGCCACTTGCCACCTACCTGATTTGCGCACTGGGGAAGGGACAAGGATGGAAAAACGTGTACTTTGATGCTGCTGTTTTCAAACCATGGACTCAGGAGGGCTGGAAGGCTGTTATCTAGGCACTAGATTCTGCCCGCAAATGCCTATGATTGGGAGTAGGGTTCCCAGCTCACCTCAATCCTCCAGGTGATGATCCCAGGGTCGTTGCCCACAGCCCTGAAGGCACTGCTCAGAGACATGGTGCTTGTCTTTCCAGGACTGAAACATCACAGAGCAAGAGGTGATGCCCTTGTGTTGGGCATCGATCCAGCTTTCCTCCTTAGTCAGTTCCCAGTCCATCTGCCATCCCACCTTGCCCTTGTGGTGTGCCCATCCACATGCCTTTTCACCATGACAGGGGAAACGACTCCAGTTTTTACACAGTGAACTTGGGTGACTTGGTCCCACCTGCAAGTCCTGTTTCTAACCTGCCACTTCTTTTGTAAGAGCCTGGGAGAGGCCCAGGAGGCAGGGGTCGATAAATATATTAAGCCCCATGTTCACTCATTTTGCATGTTATCTCATTTAACTCTCAGGTGAGCACGCTTTTCTTCATCTCATGCTGTAATAAAGTTCAGGTTTAGAGAAGTTAAAGAACCCACCCAAGGGCACACAGTAGAGTGAGATCCTCATCCAACTTAAACTTTGACATATTGAGATCCTTCTCAGGCTTATCTAAATTCTGTGGCTTGTGGAGAGAAAATCTAATCAGAAAAACTATTTCCAAACTGAGTAGCTTTATACCACTTTCTTTCACCCTACTTACTCTTCCCAGATCTCTGCTTTCGGGGTCCTTTCCAGGTCAACTCTTTGACCTGCTCTTTGGGATTTTCTTAAAGTTAACTATCCTAAAGCTCTACCCTCTCGGCCTTTGTTACATGACTAACATATTCCCTGGGCTTTTCAGGATAGAAGAGAAAGTAAAATGGCAGGGCTGGGATTGAGACAAAGGCTTCTGGGCGCTGGCACAGGAAGGTGGGTGTGGCCTGGCCTTGCCAGTGGGCAGATGGGTCCTTGCCCCCTCCTACTTAGAAAATTTGATGGCCTCCCATTCCCTGGGCCTGAGCAATGCAACACTGGGAGACAAGGAAGTGGTGAGAGAAGTCTGTGTGGCTCACAGGCTTTCTGTAGTTAAGGTGTGGTGTGGCTCATTAGGAACATGTACATGTCCAGGTCTTCGAAGAGCTTTATGTCAATTGTCTCCCTGGGTAATTCCTGCTACCAAGACCTCCAATCTGACAATATGCATCACAAATAAATACATTAGTTTCTCCCATGGAGTAAAGAAAAAAATGATGGGATTGATGGATTTACACAAGACTTTAAAAATGTACCTAGGAAGGACTGTATGGATTTTTGCTATTTGGAGGTACACGGCACTTGCTAAGAGGAAAATGTGTAAGGTTGGGAATGCAGCTCAGGCCATTTTCCCAGCATATTCAAGGGCCTGGGTTCAATTCCCACCACACATGTACACACACACACACACACACACACACACACACACACAAAGACGAGCATATCTGACCATTCTTCTTCTTGAGCATGGATGGATGAAACCAGGTTTGGAGACTTTGTGCCATTATCTAGTATGGAATTTGGCAAAGAACAAAACAAAACAAAAATGAAAGAGCAAACTCCCTTTGTGTACTGCTAGAACGAGACTAAACCAGAGTAGCCAGTGGCTGATTTGGAGCAGCCAGTGTTTGAGGATTTAATTCAATAATTTATGCAGCCCCACCCTGTGCTGCTTAGAACTGCCAGGAAATGTTTGGGTTTTCTCCAAACCCTAGATTTGACAGTAAAGGCAAAAGCACAGCTTGAGGAGGGGAAGGGGACTAGGGCCATAATTCATTCCTCGGAGATAGGGTGTCAACTTGGTAAAAGCTGAACCAACTGGCATTAATCAGGATGATGGGTCTTGAGAGCTCAAAAGCAGTCTCGCGTTCCAGCAGACTTCAAAATGGAGCTCACGGGGCCAGGGACCCCAAATGCGCAGAGGATGTGCTCAAAGGACTTCTTACCACACTGGACACCCAGAAAGCCTAATTCCATCTGCAATATCAAAATCCCCCCAAAGCTGGATCTCTCCTTTCCAAGTCCTAGTTTGTTGATTCAGTATCCTTCAAGAGGGCTCGAGATCCCCAGAGTGGGGTGCAGCAAGGAATTCCAGGTTGAAAGCATTCCTCTCAGAGATGCCCTTATGGTTGGACCCCAGAGGAAGCTGGGTTTGTCTTCCCCATGTTGAAAATGTGCCCTATCCATTCAGTGGGCTGAGAATGGCCTCTGTACTTTTCAACAGGAAGTTTGCAAAATTGGCCAAACTCCTGGTTGAACCCTTTAAAATCTTCATCCCAGAAGACAAAGCCAAGGAAATTTCCATCTCCTTTCCTTCACTGAGTAGGCTTGTTCAACTGAGGAACAGCCATAAACCAAAGACCTTACCTTCTCCTGTCTTCCACTTTTTCGTGAGGAAACAGCAGCGATCCTGAACAGCTACACCAAGCAGCAGCCTCCAGGTCCGGCCAGCTCAGCCTAATGGCTGCACAGACTCTGGATTATATTTGCTTGTGTTTGCATCTTTACTGCATTTTCCTAGTCCTGGCCAATCACGGCCAACCTAGCCCTGGGCTTGACTTATTCAAACCAGAGGGAAAGCTTTATCCGTTCTTATTCAAAACAGCAAAAACAAGGAGAGTGGACTTTTAAGGGCTTAACTCCAGCTCCACGCCCTGATCTATTGATTTTTTTTTTAAAGTGCAGAGCCCATCAATAATGCAGAGATGGGAGGATATGAAATTTGCCATATTGTAGATGTGAATGTATTATGCTGATGACAGCAGAGGCTACAGCTGCCTGCTACGTGCGTCTGGATGTCCAGGCTGGCAAAACCTCCCTGAGAAGCTTCTGGGCAATTCTTAAGGAGAGGTGGAGTCTGGGATAGGGGTCTGGAGAGTCCCTGGGCGTCTCCACCAGCCCACGAAAAACTGAAAGCCTACTGTGCCAGGAACCATGCGGGGCTTTGAGTTTCAGGGTTCTGGGTTTGGCATCAGAAAGGGGCACAGGATAATCGGGATTCTAGTGTCCTTAGGGCTTCTGGTTCTTGCCCAGCAGTCAATAGGACACCAAGATGCTTGTAAAGCACCTGGACAGCAATGGAGTTCGCTTCAAATGGGGGCCATGGGGAAACTAATGGAGTTCGACTTCTATAACCTTAAGTGGAAGCCCCAGCGCTTGTTCCACTTGGGAGCGTCAGCGGCACTGTGACCCCTTGAGGGAACAAGGTTGTACCCACAAGCCCCAATAATGACAGGGTAGGAAGGCAGCACCCATACAAGGGTAGGTTTTAAAAACCCAGTTTTATTAATTAATTGTAAGTAATACAAATATTCCAAAAATATAAACAAGACACTTAATGGCGTCCTACATTTCAAGTTTTTGAATACAACAAATTTATCAAATCATGAAGCAAGGTAGTCAGAATCCCATAGCCCAGTCACAGTGGGAAGCAGACCTCCTCCCCTCCAAATGGCATCTTAAAAGGGAATCACAGCAAACTTTGGGTAATTACAAGCAAAGAAGCTCATGGGATGATAAGAGGTGAGTCTGCCTGGGGCAGATGGCCCTCCTCTCCTGTGGCTGACTATACAGATATTTATTGGCATTTAAAGAAAAAGGAAAAAGACAAAACCAAGCCCCCCGCCTTTTTTTTTGGAAAAGAGGAGGTTGAACAATAATGGTTAAGTAATCAACTGAAGACCAGAAGGGGAAAGAGGGCTTACCTTTCTCGAATACTTGGTGCCTGGCTAGGCCGTCCAATGGAGGCTGACTGTACACGGGGCTGCCTCACTTAATTTAAGAGAACTCAAGAGGAGAGGGGCAGCAGAACTGCATGGGGTCCCCTTCCCAGGGAACGACTCCCTTGAGATTCCCATGCTTTTAATACAAAGAAGCTTCTGGGCCCCCGTTAACAGGTGAATTTATACATTTACACGAACATCTTTGGGAGGAAGGAGGGAGCTAAACAGAAGGTCCCAGGTTAACTGAAGGCAAACTCACTCTAGCAAGGGACCAATGGGCCTACAGAGTGTCCCCTCTACAATGTGCAGAGAGGAAACCCTTATCTGACCCTTAACCGAACTGGTCCTGTGTCCAAAGCTCCCCCTATAAGAGGGACAAGAACATCAGGCTCTTGATTTAGAAGCCCAATCAGAGAGACACACTGTGTCCCTGAAGAGGCACCTTAAAGAACTGAACCCGGCAGGTGGGCAGATTCTGGCATGGCTTGAGTTGGCGCTGGTACCAGGTATGGTAACCTACTGATTCCTGAAGACCAGTCTCAAGTGGGGCGGGCTGGTGGCAGCCCCAGCACAGACTGTGGAAGTGACTTCCTCTCAGTCTCGCCCTCCTCCATTAAGTAAGTCTGCCTGATTCCTCCGAGAAGCAAGCTTCACAATCACCACTTGCCCCAACACACTGCAAAGCTAGAAAGCAGACAGCACATGATGACTTTCGGCTGGTGCTGGTCCATATGGACTGGCCTTGTTTAGATTTGGCCACGTTGCTCCTCCAGGAAAGGAAAGAGGGGAGTGGAGGTGGCATTTCCATGGAAAACCTGCAAGTGAGCACAGGTGGGGTTCTGACAGGAGCAGGGCCTGGAAAGCTGGGGCTTCATGCAGAAGCAGCAGGGACACTCCTACCAAGCCATCCCAGGCTTTGGTCACGGGTCACACTGCAACAAGCCTGACAGGAATGGGGGTGGCATAGGCTCTTTCTGTGTGGGAGAACATGGATATCCAAGAGGGCAGAAAGGGTTCTGGGAACTCAATTAACTTCAAACCTCTTATTGCTTAGTCAGAAAAGTTTGGCCAGGCCAAGTGACATGACTTGGCGGAGGGCTAATCCTCAGGGTAGGGCTTAGGAAAGACACTGCTCCTGCAGTATCAGAATGGCAGTGGAGGCCAGGGCCTGGGTCTGAAGCCACAGCTGGCCTTAGCCTCTAAGCACCCCCTTTCTTTCAGATGGCCTTCCTGGCCAGCACCTGGAGCCCTCTGCCCTTCACCTGCGGTGGGACCCCACAAGCATAAGGAATTCTGTGGTGGGGGGATGACCACAGGAGGGTTGGGTGCTCTGTTGCACTTCTGTGACAACAAAGAGAAAGACAAGGCAGGCCTCTCACACTGGGGCAAGGAGAGAAGGTGGCGCCACAAAAGACCCAGCCAGCCAGTTACCACTCAGAATACTGAGCTGCTGCTCCACCACCTGGTATTTCCAAACTGGTTAGTTCCTCAAGCTCGATCTAGTGTGCAGAAACTGAAAAGGGTAATAGATAAGTCCTGAGTGGGCCGTGTACCTGCACCGGAAGCAATTCACAAAAGCTTTCCGGTATCTGCCTCCAGGGAACACAGAGATGCGGACAGGATCACTCTCCCATCCCAGGAGGGAGGAGAGCCCCACCCAGCCCCAGGAGAGGCCTTGATTAAGGCAGTGATGCTGAGGTAGGGCCCCTTCTGGAGGGCCCCTTGTGCTCCCAATTACAGCAGCACTTCCTCTTTTGTTTTTCGCCCAAGAAACTCCCATTTTGTGACTATTTTTAAAAACATACACTATTAATAATCTTTGAAAGCAAGAGACACCCAGATTGCAGGTGTGTGAGGGGTTCACTCACTCCTGTTACTGGGGGCAGAAGGTTGGCAAACCAAATGGTAAGAGTATCTGTCCCCCTCAGATTTGGAAAAGCAATTCTGAGCCTCCCAGAGGAAGAGTGACAGCCAGGAACAGACAGACTTCGGCACAGGAGTGACACCCAGGGAAGATGCAGCCCAGGGACAGCTCAGAAAGCCTTTCCCAGCCTTTGGAACAGAAGTCCCTGTGCCAGCACCAGCGGAGAATCCCTGAAGAGCAGACTTACGGAAAGAAGCTCAGCTGATCTACAAGCCAAGAGGACACACACTCATGCTTTAGTGATTTACATCTCCCCTGCACTCCAGCACTTCGCACATTCATCTCGGGCCCAGGATCGCAGCTTTGCCAGAAACCAACCAGGCCCAATGCTCCATGTATAGAATTTTAAGAGTCAAAAGAACGGAAATCAGTTATCTGTCCTCTTCCAGGGCAGGCGGAAGACTTTCCCCACAGGATCAGACTATGGCTAGGTGGTGAAGAAGGCAGGGCCAATGCCCAAACCTTGGGGAGACACAGACAGTGGCCCAGGGCAGGCACTCAGAGGGAGGCAAGTGCAATCCTTGGGCCACAGGACCTGATAGTCATGGGGTTACTGGTTCTGGAAACAAGTCGTCATCTTCCCAGAAATGGCATCTTTTTGTCTACAGCAGCTGGGCCGGAGTTTTCAGAAAGGTGTGCGCCTAGGACATCCAAAGGCAGCCTTTGGCCCTTTCTTTCTCCTTTGCATAGACCTTCCGACCCCGAGGAAAGGCCATGGTTTGGCAATAGAGCCTGCAGTAATAGTCTTTATCTCCGTAAAGCTCAGTGGCTCATAGGGTGGCAGGAGAGGAGATGAACCAACTTGGGAAGAAAGTCTTGATCTTTCAGCTTCTTCCCAATTGAAACACTGAGTTCCCGGGGTCTACAGTACTTCCTCAGACTCTCCCTCTCTCTCACACACATCTATCTCGGGAAGCTGACTTGGAGCAGGTATCTCTGGATACTGTTGGTGTGATCTACCCAGCTGGCACCTAAACTGCCTTAAAGCTCTTTCCAATCACATCTATTTCCGGGCCTCACTGGCTGAGGTGCTCCAGCTTCGCTTGGTCAGGCTGATTAAAAAGGCACAAGTGTAGCAAAGTCCCCTGCTGGGATAGCCACTGCTTGGAAGCAGAAAGGCTAAGGGGCCCGCAGCTGCCCAAGGCTGGTGTAGACGTCGTCTGCTCCGCTTAATTCCTCAAAGATTGGGATCAGGTTGAGCAACTCAGTATCTGCCATGTCATCAAACCAGGACTGCACAGGCACCTGGGGCAGGAAAAGGGTGGTGTCGGTTTGATTGTTGCTTCTTCCTGCCCTCTCTTGGGATGCTGCTGGTCAGCCCGGGTGGAGCACTCCCCTGGGGAAGCCCATGTTTCCCAAGCCCACTCCCCTCCCAGTCCCCGCCATGTGGGGATGTCAGGACCACTCACTGCATTCTCCGGGTGGAAGATGTAAGAAGCAGGCGAGTTGTCCAGGATGAGGGTTTTCCTCAGGTCCCTCCCCAAGCGGCTGAGGTCCTTGACATAGCAGCCCTGATGGAACACACAGGACTCCCGGAACAGGCGGGCCCGGAACACCCCACACCGGTCCAGCAGGTCTGTCACAGGGTCGGCGTACTGACAGGAGAAAAGATGCCCAGGTCTGGATACAGTCCTGGTCCCTCTGTGGCATCCTGAGGACCAGCAAGTAGCCACTGGACCACCCCTGTGACTGCCACACTTTTTGTGCTTTCCTCCCCGCTTATTCCTAGGTACCTTGGCCAGGCTGGCAGTGAAGAGAACACATTCAAAGAGCTCCCCCATTCGTCTCAGGAACTCATCCACATAAGGCCTCTTGAGCACGTACACCTGAGGAGAGAAGCACAGCAGGCCGTCGGGGGACCCTGTGCTGAAGCAGCTTAGGATCTGTCCCCTCCACCACTGACAGAGAACGTGGCAAACAGGGCCAGGCTCCCACACCCAGCCACTTGGGCGGGCAGGCTGGAACTACCCCAGCCCAGGCTAGCCTCACCCTTCACCAGGCTTCTGCTGGCTCAGTGGTCCAACCTTAGCTCAGGAAGAAGGACAACACACCATGTCCCAGGAGCCATCTCTGATTCCGACGGTGGGCCATCAGCTGCCTCCAGAAACAAGTAATCAAGAATAGGCCTCACAGATGGAAACAGCCTATCCTGGATTACTTGAATCCAGCCACAGCCTCTGAGGGAGCATTGTGTTCTTGGCTCCGGCAGGACAGTTTGTCCAGGTCCCTATTAGGCAAGGATACAGATATTTCCTGATACCTGATGCCCACACATGGCTTCTCCACGGTACTAGGGAGAAGTGACTTTTCCCCTGATGACCATAGACTAGATTCCCTGCCCTTCTTGCTTCTGTGCGTGCTTCTGTCAGATCCATCTACCTAACACCCACACCCATCTTTCATGACAAGATCTCAAAGGCTCTCTGGCTACATGTCCCTACCAGTCTGTGTTCTACTGCTTCTTGCCTTAGGCCTACATAGGCTTCTAGGACCATTTATTTCCTCGGAGATCTTTTTATTCATGTTACTCTCTGCTAAAAGAGTGCACACCTACCATAACTCCCTCCTCCTGGCCCGAATCCGCCACCAACTCACCAGAGCCCTTTTAGCTCCTTAGCAGAAATCTGTATTCTTGGGCCGGGGATTTAGCTCAGTGGTTCCACCACCTGCCTCTCAAGTGCAAGGTCCCAAGTTTGATCCCCAGTACAAAAGAAAAAAAGAAATCTGTGTTCTAGGCAGACACAACTTTGCTCCTATTAGCTGCCACTTCTTTAGCTTCCACAAACCCCTTCTTCCTCCTGGCTATCAAGCTTAACCTCTCTCACCATTCTTTGCTGAAAACCCACCTTCTTCATTTTAATTTCACCCCTTTATTATTATTCATGGCTTCTTTGCTAACTAGGAGTTCACAGCATGTATTCGCTTGTTTCAATCTTCATCTTCCCCTGCATGGGTACTGGATACCTCTAAACCCTCAGCTGTACTGTGAAGGGGTGCAGGCCCTGGCAGAGCACTCAGTTTCGGTGGTGGCCGGAAAGAAAGCCCTAATACAGTAACAGGTGGGACTGTGATGCCAACCCATTGAAGCCTCAAACCCTGTTTCCCTGTAAGTAACCAGCCATGCAAACAAGTGTCAAGGCCCCCAGGGTACTTGCTCTAGGGGCCCCTGCCCGTCAGGCCAACTGGCAAGCACTCTGCCAACTTCACATAATCCTTAACCCTGGACTAGGCAGATTATCAGGGCTGGAGGCTGCTCTGGTCTAGATTCATGTTCTCAGATAGAGGCCACCATAAGGACCCAAGGAAGTCAGAGGAGGTGTCACAGAGGAGGAGCTGCCTGGGTACGGGAGTGAGAAGCTCAGTAGTTCTTCACAGGCTGAGGTGTGGGGAGGAGTGCCTTCCAGGCAGGAAAAACACCACTACCTATGCACAAAACTTTGTTTCCATTTATTCCTTCAGAAACACCATCTATTTAGGCACACAGAAAATGCAGTAAATCCTGATGGGCGCTGGCTATACAGAGCGATAGCGATAAATAAGTGACAGGTGTCACTGTATTAAATAATGTAAATTGTGTTTTCAAACAGGTAGCAGTGGCACCAACATCATCATCATCATGATGTTTGTTATCTTGAGATAGTCTTGTTATGTAGTTCCAGCTGGCCTTGAACTCACTATGGAGCCCAGGCTGGCCTCCAACTCTGGGCAATCTTTCTACCTCAGGCAAATAGCCTAACCTTAAAGAAAAAGATGAGCTAGAGCAGGTAGTGGGGCTGAAAGGGTTTTTTTCTTCCTTTTCTTATTTTAAAAGATTTTTGCCTTGAGTGTCAATGATAGCAATAAAATAGGAGAGGCTGACGTTAAAGAAAAAGAAATCAGCTGATGGAACACAAGCCCCAAGAGGACAAAGGACTGCAGCACAGGTGGAGCAGAGGGAAGATCCTCACTCCTGGGCTGGGTATGGCCTGGCAGGAAGCTTACCTGGTGAGTGGTCCCCTCAATCTCTACAGGCACTATGAAGTCAGCATTGCTGATTGGCTGGAAGGCAGAAGAGTTAATGACCTAAGCGAGATGGGAGTGACAAGAAGGCCCCCTGGCACCCCCACTACCACTGCCGGGGGTACTGGAGGCTCCAGGAAGCTCCTCCTGCCAGCCCACTAAGGGATTCTCAGCCCAGGATGGGGTACACTATCCCCTTCTGGATTCCCTGCTCCTCAGCACCTCCATGCCATCCTGCCAAATTCGATCTGAGTTGAGTTTCTGGTCTTCCCTGAGTTAACAAACACCTTCACTAACAAAACAAAACAAACAAAACAAAACAGGGGCAAGGCCAAAGCTGATTCAACCACTTATAAGCCTGACTCAAGTGAAGCTTGTGGTGCTATGTGGCTGGCGTGTCTGTGTGTGTGTGGCACACAGCCTGTTGGTAATAATGGGGACGACAGAGGAGCAGGAAGTTCTGAACATTCTTCAGTATGGCCTCTCAATATCTGTGACACCAGGGTGGCCTGGCCTATCCCTTCCAGTTGCCTCTAGGCCACCTCATAGCACCCTGTCAGGCTCACAGGCAGGCCAAGGATGGGGTAGGATGGGTTCCAGATGTCAACTTACCTTAAAGGAACTGTGTACGAGGGTTTCATCCAGGTCAATGACCACACAGATCCTTCCTTGATCTTCCTCTGTCACCTCTGGGAGTAGGCAGGTCCCAGGGATCTAAAATCAGAGTCAGATTGCTGAGATGAATCCACCTAGAAAGCCCAGTCATTCTCCCTAGCAGAACACTCTGGGAAGAACCGGGCTGTTTTTGGAGACAGAATCACCAACCCAGGACAGGCACACTACTTAAAGGCAGAGGACAGAGAAGGCAGAAAGGCTCCTTGGTTTCAGGGAGGCTGGGAAGTAGATTTGGACAATGGCGGCAGCAGCCATGGCTGCAGCAGGATGCACAGCATTACAGGAAGAGGGCATGGAACATTAGTTGTCCCCTGCAACAGTGGGCCCTCTGTGGATACTTAGAACGAAGGCTTCCTCAGGCACAGAGGAGGGGGTCACCATGCCTGCTGGACGCCAGGGATTGAAGAGTCAGCAGATTCATGTACCTGATAAAACTGGTACTGGAGACACTGGAGCAGATCCGACTAGGGAAGAAAACACAGTGGTCAGTGCCATCTCACCAACAGCTCCTGCCCCATCTAAACCACTAGCTCTGCCTCAAGACCCAGCCACCTGGGACCTTATAGGACACAAAGGTGGTTTTTAAGGAGCTGGGTGGGAAAGGGGAAACATTAGTGCTTCCTTTCCACATTAGACCTGATGACGTATGGAGAAGACAGTGTTCCTGTTCCTAGCAGCCACTGTCTGTCAGTTACACAATGTAAAAAACAAAGAACTCGCCAGCTGTGGTGCCGCACGCCTGTAATCCCAGCACTCGGGAGGGTAAGGCAGGAGGATCGCTGTGAGTTCGAGACCAGCCTGGGCTACATAGTGAGTTCCAGGTCAGTCTCAACTACATAGTGAGACCCTGTCTCAACGCGCCCCCCTTGCCACAAAAAAGAACAAAGAACTCAAGTGGCCAATTCAGGGACATACAGAGGCAGAACCAAGATCTGAACTCCTCACTGGTTTAACCTCTTGCTTAATCTTTAAACCCAACTTCTCTTTGAGAAATTTCTGTGGCCCCCTGAGGGAATACAGGAGGACTGAGCCCCCACAAAACATCAAGTAAGCCTACGTGGAGCCACTGTGGGTACCAAAAAGTGCAGTTCAGCCAGGTGTAATCACACACCTGAAATTCCAGCACTTGGGATGCTGAGGCAGGAGGATCCCTGTAAGTTCAAGGCGAGCCTGGGCTACATAGTGAGACCCTGTCTCAAAAAAACCAAAACATGAAGCACAAAAAGATCAAGAGTGACCACCCCAATAATTAAAATGTTATGGTTATATGGGCCAGAAATTTAGTTTAGTGGCAACGCACCTGCCTTGCATGTACAAGTAATGGGGAGTTTGGTCCCCATTACTGAGGACAAAGAAAAAAAAAGTTACGGTTATAAAAAGTAGTTAAGTGGTCCTAATAAAAAGCTTGAATATGAAAATTTATGGGGCTGGGGATCTATCTCAGTTGTAGTGTGCTGGCTTCGGTAGACTTGAAGCCCTGACTTTGATGCCAAGTACTGACAAATAAAAAATAAAATAAGGAGGGCATGGTGGCACATGCCTATGATCCCAGCACTCTGGGAGGCTGAGGCAGGAGTACTCCAAGTTTGAGCCCAATCTGGACAACTTAGTGACTTAGCAAGATCCTATCTCAAAATACAAAATACAAAAAGGCTGGGGATATAACTCAGTGCAAAGGCTCTGGATTCAATCCTTAGCACCAGCACATAAGTAAAATCCTAACATAAAAATCTCAGAGTAGGGCTGGGGCTTTAGCTCAATGGTTGCGCCACCTGCCTCGCAAACACAAAGGCCTGAGTTCAATTCCCAGTACCAAAACAAGAAAACAAAACCCCTCAGTGCTGGCATGTTAGTGTGTGTTTTCTAAGTGGGTATTGGGAATCTTTTTTTTTTTCTTTGGTACTGGGGATCAAACTTGGGACCTTGTGCTTGCAAGGCAGGCAGCAGAACCACTGAGCTAACTCCCTGGCCCATGAAGAATCTTGTTCCTTAAGACTGATACTATGTAACTTCATGTTTGACTTTTTGGATAAATGTCATAGTTCAATATTCTCCATGTTATTAAGAACTCTTCATAAAAATTAATTGCTTAGTAATCCTGTCATGTTGTACTTTAACCATTTCTTCCCTACTGGGTAATTAAATGATTTTCCACTGATGTACGTATCTTAAGTCTAGTTTAGGAAAGACAGCCAGACCTTGGAGTTTCAGAGAGAGGTAGGCAGAATTTGGGGCAGAATAGTATTTGCTGGTCAGGTGGGTTCCACCCTCAAAATATGAGGAATATCACAGTATCCTGACAATCAAAAGTATCTGCACATTTCGAAAAGCTTTGCACAGGCACAAGTGGGAATGGATGGAAAGGGTCAAGAAGGGCGCATGCTTATAAGCCCAGCTACCTGGGAAACTTAGCAAGACTCTATCTCAAAATAAAAAGGTCTAGGGCTGGGGATTTAGCTCAGTGGTACCGCTGCCTGCCTCACAAGAGCAAGGTCTTGAGTTCAATCTCTGGTACCAAAAAATAAAAATAAACAAATAAATAAACAAATAAAAAGGTCCGGAAATGTAGCTGAGTGGCAGATTGCTTCCCAGGATGCATAAGGCCATGGGTTCATGCCACTGTACTAGTGGGGAAAAAGCATGGCAGATTATAATGCCTTGGTTCCCTGCAAGTAAGGTAAAATATGGAAAGTAGCTTTGCATAGCAGAAAGCAAATACAGGCTTTAGAGTCAGATCTGAGTTTGAATCCTGACACTACCATTGGTTAACCATAAACTCTTCAGGGCAGCAAATCCTCTGGGACCCAGTTTCCCTATCTGCAAAGTGGGAATACTGTAAATATACTAGCAGGGTTGCTGTGAGGATCACAGGTGATTGTGAAACACTACAGGATTCCTCAGAAATCACAAAGGCATCTGTTCCAATGACAATGGAACTAGTAGGAAATGGACTACTAAGGGAAGGAGAAAGGAAAGGCCTCTAAGCCAGAGACCTTTGTGATTTCAGCCACTCTGCCCACCTGCTGTGGTCTGCAGGGATCTCCTACCAGCAGCCTCTTCCTCACCAGCTCTATACCACCCTATCCAGCTACCTTAGCAATGGTGTTGGCTTCTTCCTTGTATGCAGCAAGCTCAGTGCAGGAACCAGACTGGCCAACATGCTGGGCACGAAAACAGCAAAAGAGAGCCTTAAAGATGTTACGTCCACGTGGCTTCTTAGGAGAGGACTTGGAGACCAGACCTAGAGAGGAGGGAAATGACAGGCATTAGCTATAGGTACATCAGTCTCTGTCCTCAGCTACTCTATGTGTTATCCCCTCTCCAGTCTGTAAGCCCTGCTAGGCACATGGTGTATGCTTGGCATACAGCTGCATGAACTTAACAGTAAATGTGCATTTTATTCTAGCATCATCCCTTAAAGCAGAAATGGCAGGAAACCCCATTTGCTGGTTTGGGAAATGGGAGACTTGAAATGCAGGTTTGTTCTTCAGTCCAGAGGGGAGTGACGGGGGAGTGGCCACAAAGATGGACCAGGTACAGAATCTGGGTGTTCTGCTACTCTAGTCACAGCACACTGAAGATGCCCTCAAAATTAATTCACAGGGCCAGGGACGTAGCTCAGCAGCGCAGCGCCTAACTAGCAAGCACGAGGCCCTGGGTTCGATTCCCGGTATCAAAAAAGAAAAATGAAAAAAAAAATTAATTCACAAAGATATAAATCCTCCCTAACACCAGTCACTGGAAGGTCACCCATTCTAGACAACAGAGTAACCTTGGCCGCTTTGAGTTAGTGAAGCTGCAGTATTTTTGTTTTTTTCATTTTTTGAGACTTGGTCTTGCTGTGTAGTTCAGGGTGGCCTTAAAACTTTTGGCAATCTTCCTGCCTCAGTCTCCCAAGTGCTGGGAATACAGGCATGAGCCATCACCCCTGGCTAAAGTTTGTTTCAGCATCAGCTTCCCTGGGTGCTGGGCAGATAGCAATAGAACTGAGCCCAATCTGCCTACAAACCCCAGACTTGAAGCTCCAGGATGGCCACAGGAAGATACACTTGATTTATACCCTGCCTCTGAGCTATGATTCAGCTACTCTTTAGCATGCCCTTTCCTTGGAGACATGGATCCTGACTGGAAAATGTGGATTAAGCCCAAAAGACAAAAACACCAGCCCCAGGTCCTGAGCTGAGGCCTGTGCTTCCAGACTGTAGCTGCTTAGTCTTACCTTCACAATTTGGGCTTTAAAATCATAAAGCCATTTTTTTAAAAAAAAGACAGGGTCTTGCTATATAGCCCAGGCTGGCCTTGAACTCACAATGATCCTCCCACCCAGCCTCCCAAGTGCTGGGATTACAGGTGTGCACCACACCTGGTCACAGCCATTTTAATGGAAGACTTTGTAAAACAGCCTCAGAAAGGCCAAGCAGAGACATAAAGCTATGGGGGTTTTAGGACTGACTGGAAATGGACTTCAGAATGTTTTGCAAGTTCCTTTTGCTTCAGATGAACTGTCCTGGCAACGGCTGAACAAGGGCCGTGGATGTAGCTCAGTGGTGCTGCTGCCTGCCTTGCAAGCACAAGGTCCCAAGTTCAATCCCCAGCACAAAATTAATTAATTAATTAATTGGGTCAGGGATTTAGTTCAGTGGCACCACACCTGCCTCATAAGCACAGGATCCTGAGGTTTGATCCCCAGTACCAAACAAACAAAAACCCCAAAACAAAAAACAAAACATGGACACTATGGCCAGAAGGTGGCGGTACACAACCACTCTGAGTGGTTCCCAGCCACAGGTTGGGGATGGGTCTTGTGTACACCAAAACCAAGTGGGACACCTGGCCTGTCCTGGGCCTAAGGATTAAATACAAGCGGTTCCAGTTTAAAGCACAGGTAAACTACACAGGAAAGTAACACTGGACACTATGGTGGCTCCTATCTGCGATCACAGCACTCAGAGGCTGGACTAAGCAGTGAGTTCAAGGCTGGCCTAAACTACATACTGAGACCTGTCTTTAAAAACAACGTGGGGGAGAACAGGGATTTAGCTCAGTGGTTCCGCCTGCTGCCTGCCTTGCAAGAGCAAACGACCCAAGTTCTATCCCCGGTACCCACCCCCCCAAAAAAGAAGAGAACATTGAAAATACCTGTTTTGTAGGGAAAGAAAATTGAATGGAATGTGCCCCCATAGTTCTCGTGGGGTCTCCCTTGGGACGAGGAGAAAGGGAAGGAAAAGGGAGTGTGGTCGTGGATACCCACAGGTGACAGGAGTACTCTCAGCTCAGTCCTGTCCTCAGCCTGCAGTAAGGCAGCTCTTACAAGGGTGACAGAAGAGCTGCTGAATGCAGTTTCTGGTCTGCCTATGACCCTGGAGAGGTCAGAAGAGCCAAACTGTTCACAGGACCACAAGTGAGGAAAAGGCCCTCACCTCACTCAGTTGAGCGAAGTCTGCACTATTCACCCAAGAGGACAAGGGACTCAGCCCTGACAGAAGAGGAAGGCTGAAGACAGCCACCAGTCAGCTCCCTGGACACTGTGATGGCCCCCGGGAAGCCTTTCTAGCAAGAAGCCCCCAATCGGACTGTCACTCTCAAGCTCCTGGCCCTGGAGGAAGAATCCAAACCCAAGTCTCTCTGGGGATTGTGTTGTGAAGAAGCTGTGCTGGGGACATCCCCCGAGCTCCAATACCACAAGGACCACAGCACGCAGAGGCCAGCAGTGGAAGCCAGCAGAGGTCTTTGGCCTGCCCCCTCCCATGCCCATTATTCTAATAATCTGCACAAAAATCAGAGGGGAAGAACAGCTTCCCCACCTGCTTGTTGGCCCACATTAAATTCCAAGCCTGGGAACTTGGGGCAGATGCTGACACAAAGCTCCAAGACCAAAGCCGAACCACTGCTTTTCCTTTGGTCCACAGTTTCTTCATGCAGAACCACAATTGGAGGCTTACTCTGGGCAATGAGCCTTTCTTAAAAGGCCACACAGCCCCAGCCTTTCCTGAAGAGAGGGAATCAGGAATGCACTCAGCGTCTTAGTGACAGATGCTGTGAAGGCAGCAGGGTGGAAGGGGCAGCTGGCTGGGGCCATGAAGAGGCCTTGCCTTTGCCCACCATGGGGGGCCCAAAAGGCACAAGCGCCTGGCCCTAGATGGGGAACACGGGCTCTTGTGCTTCTCAAAAGCACAATGGGACTGGCAGCCCCTGTGCCTCACAGGTCACACATACGCTGACCTTGGAGCAGGCGCTGGAAGGAGAATATCCCAGGCCCACGACAGCAAGGTCAATACCTCAGTTGTCCCTTGTTTCCCCCAACCCCTCCTATGTCCATCTGTCTCCAGGCTGTCTGTCCCCTCCTTTCCCTTACAAACAGCTCCTGAGAACTCATGGGGGCAGCTCCAGCCTTCCCTGACATGGCTGCCTCCCTGAAAGGCCTACAATGGCTTCAGCCCAATTCATTTGTCTACCTCCAGCTTCTGTATAGCTGGTGCTCAATAACTTTGGCTGAAATGACTTCAAGGGCCTCTTTTGTTCCCACAGAGCTAGAGCCCAGAGAAGCTCCCCCAAGTTTGCAACAGTTCAGGAGCACTGGAAACAGGAAAGTCTTCTTTAAGTGAGGAAAGGAAGGTAGCACTTCAGGAGCTGAGTACCTGATGCAAGACACTGAGTCTTTTTGGCCCTCTGTCATGTTTACTGGGCACCGAGATGTGCCATGCCTGCATCACTAGCTAATCTTCACAACAAACTCAACTGTAGACAAGGATTCCTCAATTTACTGGGAATATGATAGCAGAACAAGGATTTAAACCAGGTCTGCCTGAACCCAGAGCCAAAGCTCTTTAACCGATATCCCACAGGAACACTGACAGCTCAGGGACACCATGTGCATTTACTCATACAACTACTGGGAGGCCTGCGAGGACTGTCAAGGTCTCTTCACGGGAACACTTGCTCTACTGCTCTCTGCTGGAGAGGTCGGTTTGGGGCCCAGCTCCCCTTTCCTTCAATTAATTCTCTTAGGCAGTCCACCAAAAGTACAAGGGGTAATTGTACAAGGCTCTGGGATTCCCTGCAGCTCCGGTGAACCCACTCCCAATGCAACTGTGACCAGCAGCAGGTACAGAGGGGCAGGGAAGGGGGAACCAGGAGCTTTGCTCACTGGGTTTAAAGGTGAATGGGAACCACACACCAGAGTAGGATCTGAAACTTTTGTCAAAGAGCCTTTCAAGGGCTCCTTTCAGCTAGCACTCAGCATGGTGCCCCTGAAAGCCAGGTACCGCCATCCCCAAAGCATCTGTGTGACGGGCAGGGAATGTCACCTACCTCCCCAGGAGAGGAACACTGGACACAAGAGGGTCTACAGGCCTGAAGAGCTTTCACCAGTAAGAGATGACAGGCTTCAAATGTGCGTCATGGAGCTTCATGACTAGCTGCTCTCCCTCCTTCCTCTTGGTGGACACCCAGTTCTCCTCTCCTGCCCAGATGTTGATGTGTGTCTGCTCTCCTTGCTCTAAACATTTGTCCAAGAAGACCTGAATAGACCCAGCTCTGGCATAAGAAGCAAGAAGGCAGGTAGCTGAAGCCAGGCCACCCCTCCAACACACTGCAGGTCTTCCCACTGAGGTGTGGAGAGAAGGGGGCTGTGAGAGGTACCCCCTCACCTGAGAATTGCTGGGGTGGGAGTCCAGGCTACCAGTTACTGACTCAACCACCCAGCCTCTTGGAGCCCTGGTTTCCTTATCCACAAAATGGGATAAGGGTTAAACAAAAAGATAAAGCAAAACTTACTGTGCAAACTCTAAAACTCAATACTATGCTTATTTTAATTATCTAGTTGGCAAATCCTGGGCCTCATCATGAATGACTGACGACATCCCTTAAGGGTCTCATTCCAGGAGACCAGAAACAAAGGATTAGGACTTGTGCACACCTACTGTATGTGGTCAAATGCCAAGAATAGAAAGCGGGGGAAGAGTGCCTGAGAACTCTCATTACGGGCAGTTTTCAAAGTCAAAACTGCCCCTATACCTTTTCTCTACATCTATTGCAAAAGTTTTGGTTCACAACCTTGCTGGCTGGTTTCTGTAACAAAGGGAAAGCAGGTGAGGCTGTCTCACTTGCTGTGAACCTCACCCCCAGCACCCAACACCACCATTCTGTCTGCTCCTGTAAAAAGTGTGCACACAGCTTGGCATGGTGTGAAGAGACCTGCAATGCCAGCACTTCTGGGAGGATTGCAAATTCAAACCCAGC